CGGCTGCGCGGTCTTGTCGGCGCGGTATAAATAGTAATATTTATCAGCGAATGCTCGATGCAGGATACAAATGAATTTTGAGAGGACACGATGCCGATAGAGAGGAACATTCGCAAGGAACATTGGCGTCGGCAATTGTAAGCATCGCTGCAGCTATCCCGATGACTATTTCTGGTAGCATCTGACTTTTTTGCGTGTCAAGACTTTACCCTAGCGGCATCAATCACGTTACTGAATTTTACAAAAAATTTGTTCAGGAAAACGAAATTTCGCACGCGTCTGCGATTAGCTAAATTAGCCCCTTGACGCGCGCTTCTATTCTGCTCTCACAAATGGAAAACAAATTCTATTCTCTCGTCGATATTCGAGCATTCGAGTAATCATAAGCATCGTAAGCGTGGAATATAAATGTTCTTATTCTTCTAAGAAACTACGGTAAAATTCTCCCTAATTGACGCTCAAAAATTGCGCACAAAAATGGGCAATACTTTGAAAAGGAGACACGATTCTTCGAGCCAAAATTGTCCATTTTTCCGTACGATCCGAGCGTGGGTTTCTTTGAAATTCGACGATTATATCGGCGTTACGGCCCAAGTATTCAACCGACTATCCGCGCGGTTCATTTTTTTTTTTAAATTTCGAGGCCAGCTGGGAAATGTCCGAGGAACTTTGGAAGCGCTTTCGACGTGACTTTCGGGTGAATTTCGGGGCACAGGCGTCGATCGATGGACCGAGCGATTAGGGCGACCGGTAACTCGGTATCGCAATAAAATCGCGAGCGTTCCGCGAGCAACTAGTTGTGCGTCGGCAAACGAAGCCGGGTTGACGGGATATCGCTCGGTGCCGCGGCACGATCGCTCCTGTTGAGCTGAAACGACGTCGGGTCTCGCTAATGAGGACGTCCTTTCTTGCATACCGGATAACGTTTCGCCGCCGGGCGACGCCGGGCGTCTCGAATTTCTCGTGTACGCCTCTTCTTCGTTTCTCTCGCCTCCTTCTCTCCTTCTGGGAACGATCAATGCCGAAGCCACCGGGCAAACTCGCTCTTTCCCTCCTCCGTTCCTCCTTTCCTCCTTTCCTCCTTCCTCCTTCCTACGTCCGTCTCCATCCTCCTTCCGCCGGCTGCCTCCTTCGGCCCGGCTGTCTTCGTCCCACCCGACCTCTCCTCCTCTCCTCTATCCTGCACCTTATCGTGAAAAGTACGCGGCACGTTGAGTTTGCCGTCGATCGATCGAGTGGTACCCGATGGAGACGACAGTTCCAAAGAGCGCGCCGATGGAAGTCTGCTAGCCGAGCCGAGCCGAGCCGAGCCTGCCTGCCTGCCTGCCGTCCTTCCACTCGCCTTCTCTTCTCTAGTTCCTCCCTCCTAGGGAAAACGGGTCTCTCGGGCCAATTAAACCTTCGCGCTGCCATGCCGCTCCGCTTCTGATCCGCTTCTGCTCCGCTTCTGCTCCGCTTCGCGCCGCGCCGCCGTTTAATTCGGCGACTGCCGTTCGACGGAACGCGACGCGACGCGAGGCGAGGCGAGGCGACGCGAGGCGACAGGACGCTACGCGGGCTTATTAATTGCCCGTAACACGCCGGATCGTTACGATTCCAACGCCCGAATCGCGGAATCCTAGAGACCCACCGATTCCGAAAAACTATCGATCCGCGGGGAAATCGCTAATCCCTCTCTGGCCACGTCGACGCTTCCAGATCGATCGACGCTCGTTCGCCGACGTCGAGTCGCTCTTCGTTATCTCCCGACCGGCCGAGGAGACCGCCGCGATATACGATCCGGTCTGAATTAACGCGATCCGTTTCTACTTCGTCGATACTTCTACTTCGCCGGCCCGCTTCTTCCCTCGGAACCTCGCGTCGTGGACCGCTTTAGGGTTCGACTCGCTAGCTTCCATCGAGCACACGAGCGACTCCCGAAATCCCCCAGAAAGGAACCCTGTACTTTGACTTTCTTCCGTCGGCCACGACAAAGGCTTGAAATTCAAACTAACGTCTATGTACAAATTGATTGCCAACATCCGTCCGCGTTCTGATATTCGTCCGAGAACTATCTTTTCCCGTCGCTACCCTCGTAAGTCTCGTTTAATTTGACCCGAGATTTATAGCACTCGATCAGAGCGAGACCTGGTCAGACAAAATTCTAGAAGAGTCTCTCTCTCTTATTCTATGGCACTTTCGAGTTCCCTCAGGCTTCCCAGGAAGCAAAAGCATCGCGTTGTCGAGACGCGCACACGGTCGAGAGTCTCGGCATTCCAGTGACATTTTCTTGGAGACACCGTAACGATACGAAAAGATCGCTCGACGATTCCTTGGATCGCCGCGGCGCGGCGGGTAGATGACGCGATCGTGTTCCCACGTGTTCGAGATTAACGAAAAGGAAGGAGGCGGCGTGCCGCGGCGGTATCTTCGACGGCGCGAGGACGGATATCGGAGGCAGGAAACGGCGGAAGATTTGACCGGGGCTGGCCTGGGTCTCTCGGCGCGTGCAGAGCGGCGCGACGTCGGTTTGTCGCGCTCGAGCACACGGACGCACGACAGCGGCAGTGTCGCGCGTAGGCGGAGGAAACGGCACGCTGACACGCCGCGGCGGTCGGCCGACAGGCCGGAACGTTGGCACGCGGAGGCAGGCGGCGGCACGAGGAGCAGGAGGAAGGCAGGAGGAGGCAGGAGGAAGGCAGGCCGGTAGCCTGACACGCACGCTCTTTCACCCATACAAGCCCGCTCGCATGCACGTCAGTAGGTTGCGTGGGTAGAGCGTTTCGCGCCGCGCGTGCCGACGGACACCTTCCCCCTGCCCTGCGCCCCTTTGGCCGCAGCCACCGCCACCTCTCTCCTCTCACTCTCTCACACCCTCTCTCTGCCGTTGCCCGAGTCTCTCGCTCGCTCGCTCTCCGTCTCTCTCTCTCTCTCTCTCTCTCTCTCTCTCTCTCTCTCTCTCTCTCTCTCTCTCCGGTCCTCCGTCGCCTTACCGGCTCGCGTGCTCCCTCGGCCCCCCCTCCGCCCCCGGAGGGTCTCGCTGGCTCTCGTTTCGAGCGGCATCGCCTCATCGCTTTCCCAGCCAGCCTCCTCCCACGGTTCGCTCTTTCTTCGGTCCATCCGTTCGACCCGTCTCTCTCGGGCTCGCGGCGCGGCTCTCTGTCCCGTCCTATCAACTATAAAGCGGCCGCCGCCCGTCTCTCGCCTCTCGCCGCTCGTCGCTCGCCGCCTATCGTTTGCTGGCCGCCGCCAGTCGCTCGCCACCCGCCCTCCGCCCGCTCGCCGCCCGCTCGCATCCCGCCCCCGACGCCGATCCGCCCGTAGCCCGCCGCCGCCCGCGCCCACCCGCCGCCACCCGCCTCGAGGGCTCATCGCCTCGACGAGCCGAACAGCACGGATCGAGCTTGCCCCTGTGTGTGCGACGGTACTTGCCTCGAACTCTCGACCAGCGCGCGCCAGCCGCGGCGAGGCGAGGCGAGACGAGGCGAGCCGAGGCGAGTCGATTCGGGCCACGCCGCCGCGGCCGAGCCGAGCGGAGCCGTGCCACGCCGCGCCGCGCCGTGCCACGCCGCGCCGTGTCGCGCCACGCCGAGGCACTCTCTCTCTCTCTCTCTCGCTCTGCGCCTCTCTCTCTTTCTCTGTCTCTCTCTCTCTCTGGCGCCCTCGCTTGTCGGCCCCGCGCCACGCCACTTTGCGAGACCACGCCGTGCTGGCTCGTGCCGTGCCAGCACCGACAACGAGCCATCATCAGCCCACACCCCTCCGCCACCTTTCCTCGGCGAGTCGTCGTAACTCCCTGCATCGCGGCGTTATCCTCACCCATATCCAGTCGCACGCACACGACTCTCTCACTCTCTCTCTCTCTCGCTCTCACTCTGTCGCCGCACCGTTACCATCACCGCCTTTTCGTTCGTCGCGTGAGACGCCAACCCACCACCGCGAAATATAGACGCGGAGAACGCGGGAGAGGGAGCGAGAGACCGGCGATCCGACGATAGACACCGATGGTCGAACCGCGATAGACGATGACGAATAGGGTCCGACCGCCGATTAGGTTTTTAGCTCCTAAAAGCGGCCGCCGCACCGCGCCGCGCCGCGCCGCGGCAACTTTCGTCGGCTCTCTTTTCTCTGTTCGCGCCGCACCCGGATCCTCGGCAAAAAGTTTCGCGACCATTCGATACGCGGAACAACCGACGGTCGCCCCGGTAATCGCTACCGTAATCGTGTTTGCGAGCGCTTTAACCGGCTCGGGCCCCGAGCCTGCCAGTTTCGTTATCGAATCGCTGGGCCGACGAACGATTTCGAGGCGACCGATAGCCGCGGAGGAAAGAAGCTCGCCTGCAAGTCCCGCCCGATCGGAGACCGATCGGCGGGATCTAGGACAGAGTCGTAAACGTTTCGGGACCGCTTCGACGCGGCGCGAGATCCAGGAGCGACGGGAGTTTCGAGCAACGTCTCGAGATTGCTTCGATACGACGCGATCGGGGAACGAGAGACGTTTCGAGACCGCTTCGAGAAAGAAAAGAGAGAGAGAGAGAGAGAGAGAGACGCGAGGTTCGAAGGACGGGAGGCTCGCGTAATTCTCGCGGAGGGGGCCGCGGCCACCGAAATCCATTGTCGCCGGTGGAGCGATAAAGGGTCGAGGGCGGCGGGGAGGGGGTCGGTAAAAAGAAAGGAAGGGAAAAAGAGATCAAGGTAGGTCGCGTGAAACTCGCCGGCTGGTGTCCGCTGGGAACGGCGGACGCGCGAGGAGCACAGGTACGTGCACGCGTGCAGGGAGAGCGACGAGGGCCGAGCGATCGGCGAGAGGAAAGAGAAAAGAGGAGAGAGAGAGAGCGCGCGCGAGAGAGAAAGAGAGAGTAAAAGAGAGAGAGAGAGAGAGAAAGAGAGCGGAAAGGGAGGGAAGAGGGAAAAGCGCACGTAGCCGCAGGCAAGGGCGCGCGTGAGCGGGCAAGCTCGCCTCATCCTCCCTCTGGGCCCCTTGACGGCAGTGGCAGCGGCAGAGCGAGCGGCGCGGCGGAGCGAGCGGCGCGGCGGTGGCAGCGGCAGAGCGGCAGCGGCTCTGGCAAGCAGCCACGAACGAACCGACCCCCGCCTCACGCACGACCAACCGCGGCGCGATCCTCCGCGCGATCCTCCGCGCGCGGCCCCGGCTTCTCGCCTACGACTCGCACACAAACGCGAATCTCTGCGAAGAGCCGCCAGCCGCCGCTCGTCGACTCGCAGTCCGTCACCGTCGCTCGTCGAACGAGGACACGCCGCTCCGTCGACGCGCGAACACCACAGTATTTCCGAATCCTCGAGTCCGAGCCGAGAGAGTCCGAGAGTCCGATTACGAAGCACGGAGTACGAAACCGAGTTCGAGGCCCGAGGTTTCGAGTTTCTCTCGCGCGCAAGACGATCTCTCTCCGCCGCACGGTGCATGTCGCCGCCGAGAAGATGCTCTCGGCCCGTTTCACGTGTCGCCGCGTTGCTCGCGCCGCGACAGGCCGGATAGGAGAGCCGGCGGCGAGAACCTAATCGAGAGTGTCCGGCGATCGCGGTGCGTCCTATAGATGGGACCCGTCAGGATCGTGACGATGAGTGAACCGAGTGAACCACGTGACCACGCGTTCGGCGAAGCTCCGGAGGAAACTTTCCGGCTGCGGGCTCGTCGCTCGAAGTCGCGTGCATAGAGGCCGCGTGGAAAGCGCGCGCTTTCACCCGCGAGTGGGTCGAAGCGCGAGAGGAAGCGCTTCGTGAGAGGCTCGTTGGAATAATAAGACGGACCGGTATATATACCGGCAGGAGTCTCAGCTGATAGCACGCGCGCGTATCGAAGGGGCCATCGTCCGTGTCGATGCCACGAGCGCGTGAACGCGCGGACGCGTGATCCTCGCGCGGTCGGCTCGCGAGTGGAACAAGACAGCTCGAGTCAGACGATAAAGTTCGCCGCGCTAAGTAGCAGCTGTCTGGACCGCGAGATGCTGAGTGCCTCGGCTGCGTCGGGCCGGTTACTCTGGGCATCGAAATACGCTCTGCGACCGCCGCCTCTGTTGTCGCCGGCGCCGTTCCTGCTGCTCCCGCTGCCGCCGCCGTCGCCGTCGCCGTCGCCGTCTCTGTCGCCGTCGCCGTCCCCGACCCCCCTGTCGCCGTCGCCGTCGCCGTCCCCCGTCGTCGACGACACCGTCCGCGCGACTCCCGTTGGCACCGCGACAACCGGCGAGGGCCTGCGCGGCCTGCTAAGATGACCGCTCGTCTTCAATCGTTGAGGCATCAGGAGAAGAAATCGGCCGGTAGCAGCGGTCACAGGCAGCACCATCATCACCACCATCACCACCACCAGCACCAGCATCAGCAGTCGTCGCAGCAGAGCCTGCACCAGGGACCGAGTCCGGCGGCCAGTCCGAACCCAAGTCTCAGCCCGAGCCCTAAACATCCGGACGGTCGTCGAGTGAGTAGAACACGCGAGAGCGTTTTTTTCCCCCATCTTTCTCTCTCTATCTATCTCTCTTTCTCTCTTTCTCCCTTTCTCTTCCTCGGGAGTTTTCATAACAGTTCCGACGGCCGGTCGCCGCGTTCCAGGCAAACAAACCACTAATGGAAAAGCGACGGCGGGCGAGGATCAATCAGTCGCTGGCGGCGCTAAAGGCGCTCATCCTCGACAGCGCCCGGCTGGAGAACACCAAGCACAGCAAACTGGAGAAGGCTGACATTCTCGAGCTGACGGTCCGCCACTTGCAGAGGCAGCGGTCGCTCGCGCAGCCCGGCCTATCGAGGTACAAGGCTGGCTATCAAGATTGCTCGAGGGAGGTACGTGTTCCGCTTCGGGACCGGAGCTCCAGGAATCGGCTCTCCCCGATGGTCCCTTTCTTAGCGGGGGAGGGGACCGACGGGGCCCGATTCCTGGAATTCTGGTGGCTCGGTTAGACGTAGAGAAGAGACGAGAAAAAGGGAGAGAGAGAGAGAGAGAGAAGCGTGGTGTCTGAGAGCGGGACTTTGACGCCGCAGGTAAGTCGATACCTGGACGCCCCGGACATAATCACGGGGAACACGACGCCGATGGACCCTGCGGTGAAGCAGAGGCTGCTGCGTCACTTGGACAGTTGCGTGTCGGAGCTGGACTTGGATCTGGGTTCGAGGCCGGATAGCGGATTGGGCAGCAGTCCCGGAAGCGTGACGGATCGAGTGACGGGCGCGGGAAGTCCCGGTCCGTTGGAGCATCACGTGGCATCGACCGCGCACTGCAGCACGGCCCTGAATCCTGCCGGCCTGATCAAAGCCGAGATCCCGGACGTCGAGCCGGCCCGGCCGGACAGCAGTACCACCGCCGGCGACGAGAACAACAACAACAACAACAGCAGCAACAGCAACGGGAGCAACGCGAGCAACGGCAGCATCGGGAGCAGCAACAACGGCGGCATCGGCAGCGGCAGCGGCGCGAACGGTCGGCCGGCTTCTGCGTTCGGCCAGCTGAATCCCGCCGGTCTCGATCCTCATCATCACCCGCCGGCCCCGCCGCCTCCTCCTCCTCCGCCGCCGCCCCCTCCGCCGTTGCCGCCGCCGCCGGCCACCGGCATACCGATCATCGATCAGGCCCCCGGCTCTCAGCCGAACTCGAACATGCTCTCGGTGGTGCAAGTGATACCCTCGCGGCTACCCGACGGCCAAGTGGTCTTCCTGCTGCCCAGCCACTACGTGCAGCTGGCCGCGGCGGCCGCCGCGAACGGGATCAGCATCGGGCCGAACCCGCCGACGGCGATCTGGGCCGCCACCAACATGTCTCTGCTCAAGGCGACCGACAAGCTCGCGAAGCGCAGCCACGAGGACATGCAGGAGTGGCAGGACTCGGCCGCCTCCGTCGCTGCGGCGGCCGCGAATCAGACCGTCGTCGTCTCCGGCAACGCTTCCGTCTCCGCTTCCGTTTCCGCGGCCGCCTCCGCCGCCGCGTCCGCGTCGGGCGCCGCGTTCCCGGCGAACGCGACCGCCGGCCCGAAGTCCAGCAAGAGTCCGAGGCTCGAGCAGCAGCTGCAGCCGGAACAGCCGTTGGACTTCACCACCACCTCGAAGAAGCTGAAGACCGCCGGCGGCAGCCAGCATCAGCAACAGTTCACCATCCGGTTGGCAGCCGAGGGGCCCATCCCGCAAGACGACAGGCCGTCCAGTCACGCCAGCAGCAGCGATTTCGTCACCGGCATCGGATCGCCGTCCCCGCTGCCCCAGCAGCCGATCAGGGACGAGGAGGGCATGTGGAGGCCCTGGTGAATTCGTGAACTTGTGAACAAAGTGATCTCGGCGAGCCACGCCGGCTCGGCCCGGTTGTATTTCGCGGTACAGTGATCGTCGGTTTCGAGACGACGCGAACTCTCTTCGAGACCGGACCCAGACCGGACCAAACTGTTTCTCCCGGCTCGCCGAGAGAACCCGTTGACGATCGCCTCGCGATACGAACGCTGCGACGAGAGCATTGTCGTGTACATAGACCTCCCTCCCCGATTCCCCCATCCTCCACCTCCTCGACGAGTATAGATTTATTTTGATGTTGACTAGGTGTATACAAGCGTTGGCGAGACGCTGTGCAGAGAGAACGGTCGCGGTTCAGATCGAATGCGTGGAGGACCGGCGTGTGCGAGATGCCGCTCGAATTCCTCGTACACCGACGTACTTAGGAGACACATCGTTCGGTATATTATAAATGTATCCGGTCAGACATACGTTTATAATATACGCCGAGCGAGCATTCTTGTAACATAAATATATATGTATAGACGCGAGAGAGAGAGAGAGAGAGAGAGAGAGAGAGAGTGAGAGAGAGAGAGAGAGAGCCCAGTCCCCGTTCCACGTTTCTCGGTTCCGTATCGCTCCTGTCTTTTCTGGATCTTGTGATTTTACGTTGGCTCCCACCACCGTCTCCTCGGTTCGGCCTTGTCGAGTTGCGGAGGACGAGGCGCGGCTGTATAAAACGACGAAACGTTCCATTAATTTATTACTATTCAAATTTTGTTGTACGATACTCGAGAGGTCCTTGTGGCAAAGACTTAGAACAAACAGTGTATGAAACGAAACGAAACGAACCAACCAGTGTCTTTGATTTACCTGCTACGAAACTTTGCAGTCTCATTCACGATGGACATCGTGGAAACCGGAGTCCGATGGGAAGTACGAAAGCAACGCGACTTTGTCCGCGTACGCTTTTTTCGCAGATGTTCGGCCGGTTCCGTTCGGCCGAGACGCTTCGTCCTCTCTCGACGCGTTTTCGCGTCGTCCGTCGACGAGGCGTCGATTTCAGGGCGGTCCACCTTCGGGACGACCATCGGGAGAGGTATGGAACGATAACGGCAGCAGTGGCACAAGCAGCAACGGTAGCAACGGCAGTTGCAGCTGTAATGGTAATAGTAGTTTCGACTTTACTTTCTCTCGACGCCAAAGTCTAACCTTCTCGAACCTTGTAGCTGTTTTACAGCAGTTTAACCACCTGTTACGTCGAGACAACCGCCGAACTTTCGCGCTTTTCTTTTTACGAAACACGCGAGTATTCTCGGCGCCGCGGCGCGCCGCGCCGCGCCGTTCCAACACCCCTTTCTCACCCCGTTCGTCATCGTTCTCGGATCGACCCGCGATCCCGGCGAAACCGATCGCTCATCGACATCCTAACTGTCACGTGTAAATTATGGATCTTCGTCCGAGATGTTCGAGACGAGATTAAAGACAGATCGGTCGTTATTAACGTTAAAAAATCTCCACGGGAATGCATAGAATTATCATTTTTCCGGAACCCTTGCAGTCGAGGATTAGGCCTTCCGGACACTCCGTCGATTTTCTTAAATTTCTAACCTATACGCTAATTATTTTTCGATCGAGTTATGCCTATCGGAAAGTATATTCTTCGAGCTTTAATTTGATATGCGAAACACTTAAAAATTCGAACGGGAAAGCATTGAAATTAATTTTCTTTGAATCCGGCACGAGTCGTTAAGCTGCCTAACAGTGATAGTTCTTATAAAACAGGTAATTTTGTTATGTCATAGGCTTAATATGTGCACTTTTATGGTTGAAAATGAAGAATAGGGCTCTAACAATGCGATTCCATACGTTTCCCGCATATTTGAATCGTAATTAATTAGTTATAAACAATGTTCCGTTTTATGTTCAACTATCGAAAATTCGCGCGAATGATTCGTGCCGCTTCTCCCATAAGGAACCATGCAAATTCCGGCACGAATTTTCTGCTGCTCCTAAACNTCTTATAAAACAGGTAATTTTGTTATGTCATAGGCTTAATATGTGCACTTTTATGGTTGAAAATGAAGAATAGGGCTCTAACAATGCGATTCCATACGTTTCCCGCATATTTGAATCGTAATTAATTAGTTATAAACAATGTTCCGTTTTATGTTCAACTATCGAAAATTCGCGCGAATGATTCGTGCCGCTTCTCCCATAAGGAACCATGCAAATCCCGACACGAATTTTCTGCTGCTCCTAAACAGCCGAATAGCGCCACTCCGATGCAGCGGCAAAACGCTCAAACTGTTCGCCAAATACCGACCGCGCAACTCTACTGTTCGTCGATAGATGGCGCTGGCTGTCAATCCCAAGACATTTACCGATCTACAAGCGCCTGTCGATAATTATCGGTAATTTGGCTAACAGTTTCAGCTTTTCGCCACTGCATGAATTGCCGCTAGTCGAGGACTTGGAAATGGTAGAAAATTCGTGCCCGATAATATAAATGTCTATCTAACCAATACTCTTGGATTTCTATTTGATCGATAATTTAAATATAAATTGTATCGACGAAACTTTTGGTATATTGTAAATATTAAACCTTTGCACAATAGTGGTGACTCTGAGGCATCGTTACAAATTATTATATCGCGTTTCAAAATGATTTTTAATACTGTAAAAACTGCTACAAGTGTAATCGTTGTACGAATGACAAGACTCGATTTCGTATGCGTAAAGTGAAATAAGTCGTATAAAATGGAAATATTATAAAAGCAAAGGGTTACTTCAACTTTTTATTGTAGCCTACCAGCGAGTTTCATTTACAAAACAGGTTAAAATAAATCTTCAAAGTTTCAAGATTGACATCTCAAGAAGTATTGACGCAACAACTGCGGAACAAAATATTTAAATTAAAACATTGTTATTATATTGCGTTACCTTGTCACGTTCTCACGCAAACTTAGGATCCGTATATTACTTGTAGAGTTTGGATCGCGTAGGTTACGTACATTTCTTCTTCTTATATTCCAAAGCTGTAGTTTTGAAGATGGCGCTATCGTTACCGATGCGGACTTCTTTATGTGTTTAGCCATTTTCCATTGTGTGAAACGTATGGAAGTAACAGAGCGCGTGTAAATTGTCAGCACGTGCGAAGCTAACGGAAGAAACGAGTAATCGCTGGGGTTTGTAATGGAAGAACTTGAGAGATTTTAAACAGAAAACGTATTCTAGTTGTCAGTTAACGAGAACTGATTAAACTCTATCCAAGATGAGTACGATATTGGAAAAAATCGCCTCGATCGAGGCCGAGGTAACCTCTATGTCCACCATGAAATTTTTCCAGATGTCCGTTCCCTCGTATATCATCTCATAAAACTATTTTCTCGACAGATGGCCCGCACCCAAAAAAATAAAGCCACGTCCGGTCATTTAGGTTTACTCAAAGCAAAGCTTGCTAAACTGAGACGGGAGCTAATCACTCCCAAAGGAGGTGGTGGTGGTGGTGAACAAGGTTTCGAGGTGGCCAAGACCGGTGATGCTAGAATTGGCTTTGTTGGTGTGTAATAAAAATTCCATATATTCGAAATGCAACAAGAACTAACTTGTTTGTTGCTGCAGGCTTTCCATCCGTGGGCAAATCTACTTTGTTAAGCACCCTGGCTGGTGTGTATTCCGAGGTTGCTGCATATGAATTTACTACTCTTACTACTGTCCCGGGCTGCATAAAATATAAAGGGGCAAAGATACAGGTATTTTTCAGTCACTCTTTATAATTAATGGCTTTGAAACCCGGACTTACCTTTTGGTTGCCTCTTTCAGTTATTGGATTTACCTGGTATTATCGAGGGTGCGAAGGATGGCAAAGGACGTGGTAGACAAGTAATTGCAGTTGCCAGAACTTGTAGCTTAATATTCATTGTTTTGGACGTACTGAAACCTCTTGGTCACAAGAGATTGATCGAACATGAACTAGAAGGTTTTGGATTGAGGTTGAACAAGCAACCACCAAATATTACTTTCAGGAAGAAAGATAAAGGTGGCATCAATTTTCAAACTACGGTAATTAAAGTAATACGAAACGAACAGGGAAGGCTATGCAGTTGTTTTTCAAATTGTTTTATCATTTGCAGTGTCCCCAGTCTGAACTGGACTTGGAAACTGTGAAAAGCATTCTATCGGAGTACAAGATACACAATGGAGATATCACGCTTCGATACGACGCCACTTCGGACGATTTAATCGACGTGATAGAGGGAAACCGTGTTTATGTACCGTGCATTTATTTGCTCAATAAAATAGGTAACAATTTGGGACGCTTTATCGAACAAATTTGCATAACAATTTCTCAATCTTGCTTGTTTGCAGATCAAATCAGTATCGAAGAGTTAGATATCATTTACAAAATACCACATTGTGTACCGATCTCTGCTCACCACAAATGGAACTTTGACGATCTGCTTGAGAAAATGTGGGATTACCTGCAGCTAGTTAGAATGTGGGTGCTTGAAATGGTCGCTTTACTGTCTCCACAAGCTATTTATTTAATTACACCATCTCATTTTATTACAGCTATACCAAACCTAAAGGTCAACTTCCGGATTATAATTCTCCTGTAGTTCTAAACAGAGAGAAGAGAACGGTCGAAGACTTTTGCAATAAACTTCACAGATCTATTGCGAAAGAGTTCAAATAGTATGTATTTTTAGAATCGTCTCGAACTTCAATGAGACATTGAGTCGTTCTTCGAGCTAATAATCTTTTAATTTTAGCGCCCTTGTCTGGGGTTCATCTGTGAAACATCAACCTCAGAAAGTGGGAAAGGATCACGTATTGTGCGACGAAGATGTCGTTCAAATCGTGAAGAAAGTATGAATGGACATTTACCGATAACATATTAACGTATAACCGAGATTGTCAAAGCCCTAATATTGATTTCTTTTAACTCCGAACAAGGTGCGCCATTATATATATACATGCAAAATTTTTTCACTATATAGATATATATATATATATTTAAAAATTACGATAAGCATAGTTAAGAAACTAGTTTTCTATAAAACAAAATTATTCGCAACTTGCGTAATTGTTTAAAGAACACTGTATCATATTTTAAATGCTACTGAGCGCACAAAAAAAAAGATAAAGCGCATAATTACTAATAAGTGGTAGTTCATAAACTTTTTAAAATATATTCTCTTCGTTGTTGATCCAGTAAGTTTTCCAAGTGCTCGCACTTTGATTTAACGTCGCCAAGCTCTCTGGTGAGATTCTTTATCGTCAAGACTTTCCGAGTCATTATCAATTTAATTCTAAAAATATGGCACCGTTACGCGAGATCACGAATATTACTTTAATTATTTAAATGTTGTAGCAATATACCTGCTGTGTAATTGAGCCAGGGAAGCGTCCCTGTTCGCGTTGATCAGAGCGATCTCTTGGTAAAGCGACGCAATCTTTCCTTCTAGATCTCTCTTCTCACCCTCTATTTCCTGCCTGACCAATCTTTTGGCATCATCTCTCTCTAAGCTTAATCTTTTCACTGTTTCGTTTACCCTTTTCAGCTCGTTCGTACACTCCTGCAGCTTCCTGTTAGTGTTCTGCAATAAAACTTCGGTTCTGTCTAACTTATCCCTGGCCTGCATCAGCTGCATTTTATGCAACTGCTCGTTGTCCATTGCAGTTTGTAAATCCATGTTGAACTTCTCTCTGAAAGACCTGGAATCAACCAGCAATCGATACCAAACAATTCTCCACCGATTTCTGGTTTCATTTTACCTGAGCTTACAGTCAAACTGTTGTTGAAGAGTCACTTTCGCCTCCCGAGAATCTTTTTCAAGGCGTTCAATAACTAGTTCGATTTGTCGATCCCTTTCTCTGTTGCACTCGGCTCTTATGCTACTCTCAGACCTTTCGATCTTTAAAGTCTGTTGCCTTTTATAGTCAGCGATCCAAGCTTCCCATTCCGACTTCAAAGACTCCTGAAGAACCTTCTTCTCGTTCAAATGCTGTTGCTTCAGAGCCTGCAGTTCTCTCTAAAGAAACATCCTCTTTTCACAATTGAAACCAGAAAATATATCAAATTATAATCGCACCTGGTACAGCTGGTACTGCTCCTGCAACTTGGTCTCCCACTCAGCATTCTGTTTAGCTTGATTCTTGCTGGATTTTTCCCGCTCTGCCTGCAGCTCTTCCATCAGCTTCACTCGCTGATCCTTGAACTGACTCTCTTGTTCTCCTAGCTTGTCTTTGTACCTGGTCCACAAGATATTCTTCTCGTTAGCTACCATCCTCTCGTGGCTAGCAGTCAGTTCCAGCCGCAGCTGCTCCAGCTGCTGATTGGACCTACGAATTACACGCAGTTCCACATCCTGTAACTCCTTCATATGGGCGTTTCTCAACCCCTGAATCTCCTCAGTGTGTTGCTCCATCATGCTCCTTAGTTCTGGCTCCAGTCCCTTCACAGTCATCTCCTTTGCAACGTGATCGGCCATTTAAATTATTGTAAAAATAGCTAATATCAGAATTAAAAGGAATCACAATTGAAACCTTGATCTTGCTGGTCCTGGCTTCAATCCACCTCTCCCTCTTGATCTTCTCAGCAGCAGCAAAGTGCTCCTTGGCCCTCTGCAGTTCTACAGAGTGTCTGTCAGCTGCTGCTTTCAGATCCCTTTGCATTTTCACTTCGATATCCTTCACCCTCTGTGCCAGAGAGTTGCATTTCTCAGTTAGCTCAGTTTTCTCAGCAATCAACTGTTCGATGAACTTCTGGTGTCTCTTGACAATAGCCTTGTATTTGTCCTCTTGGGCATGCAGCTTGGAAGCGCTGCCTTTTCGTTGAGATTCGAGCTTCTCGTAGATTGCTTTTCTCTCAGACTTCAGTTGTTCCTTTAACAATGTTATCGTAGCTTCTTGCTCTTCCAGCCGTAGTCGAGCTGTGGCCAAGTCCTCCTCAAAAGCGTGATTCGTAATCCCCACAGGAACCACTCTTTAAAAAAAAAAATTAAATTCTTAAGGTCCTAATTAGTAATGTCCTAGCTACTCATACCCATTGCAATTGCCATAAATGAACGTCTGTGACTTGACGAAGACTTCCTGAAGCATTTCAGGGTCCACTTCTGGTACGTTCGCCTTCGTTTCATCCAGAGAGCCTACAGTGTTCATATAGGTCAGCCGAAAATGAAAGAGTTTAATGAATATTGGACTACTTTATTCAATTACTATATTGCCCAGCTACCCTCTTCAAGTTTCGTCAGGAAGGACATTATGTCTTCGTAAGCAGTCCTGCTGCATCCTTTTTTCTTAGAGTCATCCTTTTCAGGCTCCAGCTAAAAACACAACACATGTGTAAATTTTCTTCAAGCAAATCTAAGGATCTCTGTTTCAAACCTGATGTTTTTCGACTTCAGAAACATCACCGGTAATGCTCTTTTCGATCACAGTGATCATATCACAGAGCTGATCCACAGAGAGATTCGATGATTCAATGATGTTCTGATTGTAGTCTGGCTTGTTCTCTATTCCCATCGCCTCAACTTCTTCCTTGTGGAGGACGTCTCCTTGATTCTTTGCAGGAAAGGATTTCTTCGCAGGCGGTTTTCCATGGATCATTGGATGGCATATATTTATCATTTCTTTCGTCATGATCGGACAAGTACTGAGACTCTCTCTGGGGGGTCGTTTACATTTACTCATTTTATTGCAGGTTTCACGGTCGCCTGGGCAACTGCGGGGTGACGATCGTGAAACATATGGGGTGCTGGCCACCCCATGTATTTAATGGATTGAGGGGGTACACCTGGGATAATGTGTAGAATGCGCGGGAACGTAGGAGAAAAATAATTAATTGGAAATGGAGATAATGATTTTATTTCGATCTGATAAGACAACGAGTTGGAGTTCGCTCCAGCTTTCTTCAAGTTCAGCGATCCGACCAAACTAAGTAAATTCAAGAAGAATCAACGACTGGAGCCGCTCTACAATAAATACGAGGAACCAAACGCTTGACGAATATCTAGAGTCCGTAGAAGACTTAATTAAGATATTTATTATACAATCTGTAAATAATTTTGTACAGAGTTTCGTATCACATGCATATACGAACGAATGTAAGTAACTTGTGAGAAGAACGTAAAATCGCAAATATAGTAAATTTTTTTTTCTTCGTTTACTATGTTCGATACAAAATTGAATGGATTACTATATAACATTAAACAAACTCGGGAAATACATTTAACGTTGAACATAATTCCATATTTACATCGATTCTTTTTCGTAACATTTTTGTTCCTTACATAGTAAACTATAACGAGTATATAGAATAATTTATGCTTCGTATAAGTGTATCATTAAGTGTATATTAAATTAGAGAATTGATAAAATTTCTAAAAATATATGAGATGAACTGCATTTTACACTAGAGCGCATCTCATTTTAACAAATGCAGTATCGATGCTTGTTCAGAGAATTGTAGAGTATCATGTGCTTTGGCATTGTGATGTTATGTACTATTTCTCACTAAGTTCAGAAAGTAAAACACGTATTTAATTAGATGAACGGTACTGATTCCGCGTTAGTCTCACAGAACAGGAGAGTGTTCAATCATTGTGCCGCATCAGTCTTTTCCTCTTAATTAATTATTAAATTTATTAAATAAATACATTCTCCAGAAACACTTAAGAATAGAATCATGTTAAGAGCAATAGTCTCTCTTTACGTATAAAGTTTCGACACTCTTAATTGCAATTATATTTCATTTCTGTGTAAGAGAATCGTTAAGAAATCTGTAATTTATTCATATGAAATGTTGTACAACAGCCTTGAAATATTCAGTTTCACGAGATATAAATTGAATACCATTTCTGGACTTGATTGTATGGACTACACACTTTTGTCAAAGGAACATCTTGTACATGGCAGGCTACTGAGTTTGTTGCTTCTTCTTCACTAACTCCACCAATTGCCTATACCTTACTTGGCACTCATCCTTTAAAAAAAAAAAAAGAAAGGTAGTCGTAAATGGTACTAGAAGAGCACTTGTTATTTCAATATGCAGCTACCGTACCTTTGTTTTTCCTTCGACACAATTCGCTATTTTTTCCCACCTATCTACAGACGTGCCCTTAGGATATTTAATAAGCGCTGCCTCGAACGCTTTTTGTTGCTCTTGACTCCAATCACTGACATTATCCACGTTCTCAGCTCGGGTCTTGACTTTTTTCGGACGTTCTTCTACCACAGTCTCCTCTGACAGAGAGCTGGGCTTTAAACCTTCGTCTTTCACCTGTTAAATATGTATTCTATTTAGTGTTTATCCTATTCGGACGGAACGTGCTTTGAATGAATGAATTAATTAAAATAGACACCTTCTTTGCCATATATGTTACATCCGCAACTGTGCGGTTCATGGCGTCAGCAATCTTATCCCATCGTTCAGGTGTACCACTAGGGTATTTTTTCACGAGTTTAATAAGCTCTAATATATCATCGTCGACCCACAATCCTCCGCCAGACGGAGCAGGCTTTTGATAGACATGATTAGTCTGATCGCTAGATTTCTTGGTAACTTCTTTATAATTGTTACTGCTTCTTTCTTGCGGGGTGAAACCGGGTCTCCTTCTTCTGGTGCGAGGCACAGGCTCTGGTTCTTGCTCATGCTCTTGTGCTCTGTAATAGTATGTAGAAAAACGATTAAAACGGAAAAGAGAAATATGCTGATATATGTTCAGCCAATGTTCACTCACAATGCCTCTTCTTCTTCCTTTTTTCTACGTTTTCGCTCTTCTAACATATTATACACTGCACGCACGATACTGGGTATGGACAACGTAAAATTTACAATCCACTTTGGAAACTGGAACGGAAGAGTATTCCAAATGCTTGGCGTAGGAATCTTTTCCAAAATATCTGCTAGATCTGGTACATCCATTTTACCCTTTTTATTCTTCTTCTGCATCTTCTGGAGCCTACTTCCTAATACTTGCTCCTACATTGAAATCATTCATTAATTTTCTATCCAACTTAAGCATAGTTATCTGTGACGTTAGAGAGGATTTACGTACATATGTATATCTCTTCTCAAAATATGCACCCCAGGCTACCAAATATTGTCCAACGGTAAATACTAAGAATAAAATTACACTTAATTCTAACATTCCCATTTTCCGCACATGGCGGTAATAATATACAGCTGACCGCCAATTTGGCAGGCCATTGACCAGCACATTGTCATAGCGTTGCCGCTTTCCTGAATCCTTGAGTACATCATATACGGCAACTAGCTGAAATAGAATTCAACGATTAATTTGACTTCAGAATGTCACTGATTCCTTGACCTACCTTCCTGAACTGTTGTTCCGCATCCTCTGCCGGATTTTTATCAGGATGCAGCTGCAGAGACAGCCGCCTGAACGCCTTTTTAATCTCCGACGCATTTGCAGTCTGGCAAAAATAAATAATCGTGATCACTCTGATGAATTGTATCTTTCATTAATTCAATCATTTTGGAGTATTTCAGAGTTGTGATCCGGCAGTGAAAAATGGGTAACGAACCTGTGAGACTCCGAGGACCTCGTAAAAGTTTTGATTGACTTCTTCGACGACATCGAATACTTCTAGCTCGTCATTATCCCAAGCGCTCGCGTACTTGTACAAGTCGAGGAAAGACAAAACACCGAGTAACAATAATGACAATCTCATCTTTTTATGTTCTCCACTACATGCGTACGATCATATCCGTCGGCAATGTTCACGGTCAACGATACTAACGTTCTCTCGACGACTGTCGTTCACGCGACGACCATTGCTTTTGTTCCGACGAGTTCGTCGACCAACCAGCAAAGTAGAAATATGTTAAAACGGAAGGTGCCACATCGCAAGCACTCGAAGAGGTTACGTTGATCAGGAAACGTAGGCCGTGTGTAGCGTCGAAGATATCCGTATGGCCAACACCACGTACCCAATGCGCACGCGTGCACAACTTTACAATGCAACCACACCTTCAGAACCGTTGCATTTGAGTTTTTAATAAATTTGCCGTATAGTACGTTCTTTGAGCTTTAATTCAAGCCCTCAAACATTAAAAAACTCTATGGGAAAACAGAAAAATAGTTTCATTTTGAAACTCTTCCATTTGGGCATATGAGAACAAGAGCGAGAGCAAACAGCTGAGTAGCGCCAATGCCTATGATGGCAAAAAGCACAAATTGTTAGCCAAATTATCGACAGACGTTTACAGGTCGGTAAACGCCTTCGAATTAACTGCCAGCGCCGCCATCTATCGACAAATAGTAGAGAGATTTGGCGAACAGTTTGAGCGTTTTGCCGCTGCATTGGAGTGGCGCTATTCGGCTGTTTAGGAGCAGCAGAAAATTCGTGCCGGGATTTACCTGGCTTCTTATGCAAAATGCGGCACGAATCATTTGCGCGAATTTTCGATAGTTGAACATAAAACGGAAAATTGTTTATAACTAATTAATTACGATTCAAATATGCAGGAAACATATGGAATCACATTGTTAGAGCCCTATTCTTCATTTTGCAATCATAAAAGTGCACATATTAAGCCTGTGACATAACAAAATTAATTGTTTTATAAGAAGTATCACTGTTAGGTAGCTTAACGACTCGTGCCGGATTCAAAGAAAATTAATTTCAATGCTTTCCCGTTCGAATTTTTAAGTGTTTCGCATATCAAATTAAAGCTCGAAGAATATACTTTCCGATAGGCATAACTCGATCGAAAAATAATTAGCGTATAGGTTAGAAATTTAAGAAAATTAAAGGAGTATTCCAAAGACTTAAATTGAAAGAAATTCGATTCAATACTCACCAATCGATTTGTGCGATTAAAATTCTCTTGTTATCTAATTTTTGTTGGTATTTTTTATAAAAAATTTAGATGATAAAGTAGTCTTGATTATATGGCATCTTGGTATCTCGGTCATCCCAGTGATCACTTTTGGTGGTCTTTTCAGAAGTATATTATTTATATAATCATCTTGTGACGGATCATTAAATAATCATTTACGTAATTTCAGTAATTTGACTTATTTATTGACAATTTCACTATACATATATGTAAAGAATGGTCAAGCACATCAACATGTTACTTTAATTGCTAATGTAATACATACATAACAATGTATCTCAAACTTCTGTTTAATAAATTCCTATTCAAAGAATACAACACATTTGACCCTTTCCATCATAATCTCTTCTTACATAAATCTATTTTCTTCATATGAATATTCGAAGCTGAGTGATAATCACAATAAAGTAATAAGCAGTACATGAATGATAAATTCTAGTCTGATATTTTATGCAATGGAAGCTTAATATCTACATACTGTATTTCAGTACAGTTCAAAGAAACTATTTAC